GGGGAATGGGGTTGGGAGAGGGGAACTGGGTTGGGAGAGGGGAACTGGGTTGGGAGAGGGAAACAGGGCGGGGAGAGGGGAAAGGACAGGGAGAGGGGAATGGGCTGGGAGAGGGGAACTGGGTTGGGAGAGGGGAAAGGACAGGGAGAGGGGAATGGGGTTGGGAGAGGGGAATGGGGTTGGGAGAGGGGAATGGGCTGAGAGAGGGGAAAGTGCAGGGAGAGGGGAATGGACAGGGAGAGGGGAATGGGCAGGGAGCTTTCCAGTGACAGTTGGATGCAAATTACTATGAAAGTAAATATTTAAAAAGAAATATTAAATAACTACCTTTAGCTCACTTTACCAGCTCAGTCTGGGTGTTTGAACAGGATTTCTGAATGAAATAAAAAAATATATATTTTGTTCATTCAGACTTGGTTGAAATTTGAACTTCAGTAACTTTCTGGAAATGGAAAGAATTGCTAACTGACCAAGTGTATATTCTTTGGAAGATGTTAGATCCATGGTTATGAATGCAGTTTGTGAAATCAAGAACATATTTTCAATTATTTAGAAAAGCATATCAAAATATATATCACAGAACATGAAACCTTAAAATAAAGGTTTTCTTCTTTTGCATGTATAAGAAGTGTGTGTAACTATTTCCTACAGTTTACTTCTGTAATATTTTGCTTTATTTGAAGTATTAAAGCATTATGTTGCTTGTATAAAGTCTTTTTACATATATTTGGAAGTTAGATTCTGTTTCTCGAGACTTGAAACAATACTAGATCATACATATTCACATCCCATTTTTCCTTTTAATTTGTGTGTAGGAAATGGCTGGTTTCTTGATGATGTTATGGTCAAGGATCCAAGTACAAACCGCAAATATGCCTTCTTTTGTCACAGGTTTGTAGATGTGCTTTTACACTGAACAAATTCATTTCATATTATTTCCAAGTTCATGTATTTTTGATAATTGGGTAGGTTATTTAGTTATTCCTAGTCACTGATGATTTGTTGGGTAACTTTTAAGAACATTAATCATAGGGGCTACTGCTTCTATTGAAAAAGATACCTGTATGTTTATCATAATTCCTGGTGACATAAATTTAGTCTTATTAATTAAGATAATTTTTAAAGATTTTTTTTTTTTTTGGAGACAGAGCCTCAAGCTGTTGCCCTGGGTAGAGTGCTGTGGCATCACAGCTCACAGCAACCTCCAACTCCTAGGCCTAACCGATTCTCTTGCCTCAGCTTCCCAAGTAGCTGGGTCTATAGGCACCTGCCACAATGCCTGGTCATATTTTTTTGTTGCAGTTGTCATTGTTGTTTGGCAGCCTGGGCTGGATTCGAACCCACCAGCTCAGGTGTATGTGGCTGGGGCCTTAGCCACTTGAGCCAAAGGCACTGAGCCTAAAGATAGATTTTTAAAAATATAATTTATTTCTACTTGTCAGTAAGGAGAATGAAAGTCTTTCATAGGAAAACATATTCCCTTTGGATTAGATCCCAGATTAGGCTCAAAATAATAAATGTATACCATATTTCATGTAGCTTTTTATGTAATGATGATATTGTTTACCCACTGGCAATAGGTCTGGATTTTTGAGTTATTTTTCTAGTCGTGATGATAGATTTGATTTTTCTTTCAACACTCTCCTACCTCTTTCCTCCTGGAACCAATAATAGCTATTTATGAAATTACTGATGAGTTTGGACTGTAATTGGTGGCCAAAGAACAGGGTAAAATAATTGATTCAAAGAACATAAAACCTGTAACTTTGCCAGTTAGCAGGCTGATAGAGTGGATTAGGGAAAAACATATTTTATTCTATCAGATCCTGGCATAGTCATTTCAGAATTACCTTTTCCAAACTAGATTCCTCTGCTTTTAACAATTGGATATCCTTGTCTTTTTCCATTCCTGTTATTCATTCTTTCTGACTTGGTTAGACAATTGCCAATGGTATGGTAAATATAAAGCCTAAAAGTAATTGATCCACTTTTCTTTCTGCAGATGGCTGGATCAAGGGAAAGATGATAGTAAAATTGTCAGAGAGTTGTATGCCACGGATGACAGTGTCTTCTCTGCGAGTAAGTGTGTGTGCACACATTCACTGGAAAATGGTGTTTTATGATGACTGAAGAAAGTATATCACTGCTGAAATTAATCATCCTCTTTTTATCTTCTCAGGGGAGAAACTAGAACTTAAGAGAAAAGAAACAGTAAGATTTTGCTTTGGGCTTTATTTAGTACAGTGTTCAAATGGCTATTTGATGTGTTAAAATAGTGTATGGTGTATAGTAGTCTTAGTAATTTCTCCTCTTTGTTTCTTCTCATACTGGTGTTGTTTTTCTCTTGTTTTCCTAGTGGACTGCAGAACGCTGGAAGTTCACAGAAGGAAATACCATTCAGTTCTACAACAGCCTGACAGGAGGGTTTGTCCGTCTGCATCCAGATGGCACCGTTGATGCTGTTGGAAAGAAGAAAGACAAATATGGTAAAATCACTGGACAAAGTGTGTGGTGCTGGGCGGGTCTCAAAGCTGAAGGAAGGAGATTTCTAGACACAGTTTAATTGATATTTTTGCTTCTTTTTCAGATGGCCATTTTAATAATTCACTATCTGCATTAATACAAACGATCAGTAGATGACAGGCTTTACATCTGAGCAGACAGTGTTGTTATGCAGAACAATGTACTATAAAAAATTTATGTTTGGTATTACTTAAATGAAGAATAAAATGTAGGCAATAAATATTAACTGTTTATAAAAAGCAACAGTATTTAAGGAATTAAGTCACTTCTACTGTCAAGTGCCTATTCTGTTCAAAACACCATGTGAAATAATTTGAGAGCCACAGAAATAGTTGAAATATCATCCTGAGTTTTAGAGATTGATAATCTAACGAAGATAAAAAATGCCCTGCAGGGTTCCAATGACGGTGGTTTGTAGATAGTGTCACAGTAAAGGTACAAAGGAAAAGCTAAGCGAAGATGAGTTTGATGTTTAATATCTGCATGTCATAGAGTCACAGCAGGAAGAATAAACTGATGATGATGTTGGGTCTTTGACTGTGAACCCAAACCTCCAACTTTATTTGAAATTTTGACTTTCGGCTACTTACATTAAATTTGTCTTCTGTATCCATCAGTCTAACTTTGTTGTACTTTGTTGGAAACTATGCTGTTCATCCTTTCAGATGTGCTAGAAATGCTAACGGACAGCATTTTCTTCAAATGTAACTATCTTTACTTCGTATTTCAGTTCCTCGGGGGATATACCGGTTTTCTCTTTGATTAAAATATATGGCCATTCAAGAATACTTTCTAGTAGCTTCTCTTTCCAGAATTATTCTTTGGACATTTTCTTTACCTACTGATTTCCACTTGGGATTAGTTATCCACTTAGATGAATCAAAATGATCCTTCACATCCTATTCCCCAGGTTCCTTGTTGCCAATGTTTATGATCTTTTTTTATTAGTATGGTAGGTCGTATTTGCAAGTATGGCCACAAAACATGTCTTATTATTAAATCAGAAGCTATAAGGATCTCAAGTTTACCCTATGTGTGGGAAACAGGAGACCACTGGTTCAGAGACCATGACCATTTATTTTTCACAGCAAATGCAGCAGTCAGAGGAATATCTCATACTGGGTTTACTCCCTTAGGACATCTCAAGAGAGAGAAATGTCTTTAAGCTTTCCTGTGTTGGAATATCTCCTTATAAAACATTTTATAAATGCTTTTATTCAGAGGCAGTATACTAGGCAGGAACATGAAGCATGCAGGAAGTAGAACTGTCTTCCTCTACCCATCCCACAGGCTACTCTATAAAGGGAGCTTGCTGTCCCCTCATCAAGTCTGATTTCCTCACTCCTTGCTAGGTTAGCTCTTTCTCCATGTTTTGAATAACTGAATCAACAGCTTATCTTCTAAGATCTTCATCTTCTACCTTTAATTCTTGAATTAATCTTTCTTGCAACTCAGCCCTTGTGTAGTAAGGAAGCTCAGGTACAAATGCAGAGAGGTCCTAAAGGAAGACCTGGCACTGACAGCCCTGGCTGGATACCTACCTGCAGCCAGCACTGGCACCAGCATGTAAGCCTCTGTGCAGAGCAAACTAATTGGTAGATGCTGAAAATAGAGAAAATGTTTACCCTACAGGGTTTCTAACATCTTAAGATGCCGAATGAGGAATTCTAAAAGAGGCAGGTGCAGGGTTGTGTGAGGAATTTTCCTCAGTGTAACTGACATTTTTGCAACAGGAGGTCTCTTATGTGTGATAATTACTTGCAGGAATATTTCCTGATGTTATGCTCAGCGTCCCATAAATTCACACTCATGAGTCAGCTTTCATGCCTATAAAGTGTTGTGATGAACAATGCTGACCTGTAGACATTTTTAAAGGAAAATATTTTAAGATCAAGTTTCTGAGATATTTTCACTCCACAGAACAGTGTTTTTTTGTTACCATAAGCCCATCTTTCTATTTAGTTATTAAGCTGGTTGTGAGTTTAGTTATTTCTATACTCATAGAGTTAGAGTGTACATTTCTCTGAGTGCTGCTGATCTATGTTTTGGGAGTACTGGATCTAAAAGCAGACACATCTCCAGAAATTGTAAGAAATGTTTGTTTTAAGCTGTGAAGCATGGGAGTAATATCTTATACAGCAATAGGTCACTAATAAGCCACTTCCTACAGTGTTCTGTAAGGCTATTGCCCACAGTGATTTCCTACTCTGGGACAAGGAAGAGCTTCGCTGTTATGGCAAGGAATGAAGAGGGCAGCATTTCTCGAGTTGCTGTTTTACGTCTACATTCTGCAGTGGTTCACTGAAAAGTTATGAATATTAGTGCAATTTTTCTATGGTATTACTACCGATCCCTTTTTAACGACCATAGATGCATTTTATAAAGTGTTTGTTGTAGAGTACAGTGCAAAGATTAGAAAAATTTCTAATACAAAAGTAATGAACCATACCATTTTCACGATAAAAACACTCAACAAAGTAGGAGTATAAGGATATTTCTTCTACATGCTAAAGGGCATTTATGAAAAACTCACAGCTAGGCTGGGCGTGGTGGCTCATGCCTGTAATTCTAGCACTTTGGGAGGCTGAAGTGTTGCTGAGATTAAGCTGGATTAATCCACATACTATATTTGAGATTTTTTTTGGCAGTTTTTGGCCAGGGCTGGGTTTGAACCCACCACCTCTGGCATATGGGGCCAGCGCCCTACTCACTGAGCCACAGGTGCTGCCCTGGGAGGCTGAAGTGGATAGATTGTTTGAGCTCATAAGTTTGAGACCAGCCTGAGCAAGAGTGAGACCCTGTCTCTAAAAAAATAGCTGGGCATTATGATGAGCACCTGTAGTCCCAGCTACTCAGGAGGCTGAAGCAAGAGGATCGCTTGAGTGCAAGAGTTTGAGGTTGCTGTGAGCTATGATGCTACAACACTCTACTGAGGGAAACAAAGTGAGACTCTGTCCCAAACAAACAAACAAAAAAAAGAAAATCCCATAGCTAGAAACATAGTCCGTGATTAAAGGCTGAATGCTTTCCACTTATTGAGGCTCAGATGTGCTTTGACACACTGAACCAAAGAAACAACCTTGTGGTCTCTCTGAGCACTTCAGCAAATATTCAGAGAGTGAAAGGGAAGCCTTCCTACTTTGTCCTTATACTCCTAAATCAAAAACAAGACAAGGGTGCCTGTTTTTGGCACTGCTATTGAAAATTTTTATTGGACATTCTAAGTAGAGCAGTTAGGCAAGAAAAAGAAACAAAAAGCATCCAGATTAAAAAGGAAGAAGTAAGACTATATTTATAGATGATCTCATACATAAAAAATCCTAAAGAATCCACACACAAAAAACTATACCTAATAAATAAAGTTATCAAGGTTATAGGATATAAGATCAACACAAAAAACTTACTTGTATTTTTATGTGGTAGCTATTAATAAACTAAAAACAAATTTAAGAGAACAAGTCTGTTTATAATAATCTGTTTGTAATAGCATCACATTCTTAGGAATAAATTCAACTTTTTTTCTTTTTTTTTTTTGGAGACAGAGTCTCACTTTGTCGCTTTGGGTAGAGTGCCATGGTGTCATCATAGCTCACAGCAACCTCAAACTTTTGGGTTCAAGAGAGCCTCTTGACTCAGCCTCCCAAGTAGCTGGAACTACAGGCACCCACCACAATGCCCAGCGAGTTTTTCTAGTTTTGGTAGAGATGTTGTTTCTGGCTGGTCTCAAACTCCTGAGCTTCAGCTATCCACCTGCCTAAGTAACCCAGAGTGCTAGGCGTGAGCCACAGTGTCCTGCCTAAAAACATTTCTTGATAGACATAAAATATATTATTAGGAGATTTCAGTATATAATTGAATAACAAAAAAACTTTAAAAGCATAAATTACTTGATAATACTTAAAAACTGTTTTCTAGGTCTCTTTGATGTTATTTTCAACAAAAGAAATATATGCATTTTCCAAAGTCATGAGATGAGGCATCTTTCTCTTGCTCTGGACAATGGCTCAGTCACTGGAATGGTATGTGAATTTCTCTTTGCTATAATAATAGTATTGTGTCCCTGTATAAAATGTGTTTGTAGAAAATATTTTGTAAGATTATCAAATTGTGTTTTACTTTTTTCCATTATTCTGTTTTGTTTCACTAATCTAAATTCTCAATTTTGGCAATTGGAATTTAGATAAGAAAAAAGTAGACCAATTCTCTGATAAAGTTAGAAATTTTAATGAGCTTTCAGAAGGAGTCTGACTTCATTTTGGTTGGAAAAGTAGTTTTTTTTTTGTTTTTTTTTAAAGGCCCTGGGTCTTGGTATATCGTCCATTACCCAGGTTGTTCTCAAATTCCTGGCTTCAAGCAATCTTTCCATTGGAGCCTCCTGAGTTGGCTGGGACTACAAGCATGAACAATCACACCCACCTTCCAAAACGCTTTCGCATATATTAATATAAAGCTGTATATAAAATTCATGCATGTTATTTGTCTTGAAAAATTATATAGCATAGTATAACTTTAATATATATTTTTAAGTGCTTACTATGTATTATAATATTTAACTCTTAGATCTATGTGAAAGAATTCATTATTATCCTATTTAACATAAGAGGAATGTGAAATATAGGGGAATTAAGTGAGTTGCACAGAATCACAAGCTAGTTAGTGTGAAAGCATAAATTGGACACAGAAACAGAAATTGAACACAGAAAAATGTGACACTAATACTCATGCTACATTTTACTTATGTAACATTATATAACATTAATTATTTTTAACTCATAGCATGTTATTTAACTTAATAGAAAATAATAATTATTGAAAAAAAAATTTATGTAATTTATATGCCTGAAATTCATGCTAAGTGATTAATCAGCCAAAGTTTCTTCATGAAGCCTTTCTCCTCTGCTCTGGAGTTAGTGAGGTATCCTACACTGTACTTAATAGCACGTTCTCATCAGCACAGAGCCTGGTCATAGTAAATGCTTAATAAAGATGAATGTAGTGGGTATAGAATTTACTCAGTTGAGTCAAGAATTGAAGAAATGTCTTATTACTTTTCCAAAATCAAATTCTTTACCTTTAAGCCCCTCCTGTTCTATCATACTAGGCTGTACTAGGCTGGTGGGAGATTCTCTCTTAGTTACTACTCATCTTGTCTCTGAGAAGATTTACCTGCTATGGGGCCTCAGTGTATCTGGTGATACCTTGATAGCTTTGGTCTACACTGGTCACTGTGCTGTACTTACCAAATGTCATATGGTTTCTTGAAGAATAGCTCTTCTGCTTCCCTGCTGTCTTTGGGCAGTAGTACTTTACTGAGGTTGTTAGACTTAGCCATTTAAGCTGCAGCAATAAGCCCCTTCCTCTCCAGGCCCCACTGCCTTCCTGGGCCACTGAGGAGCTATGGGATGGGGGAGGACCTCATACACTGCCTGAAACTAGGCGGGCCTCCCGGTAGTGTAGCCTCCTTTATTCATTTAGTCTTTTGAAAGCAAAACCTCTAAGAATGAGATAAGACTTCTGTTAATTTTAGTTTTTAGTCCCAAGTTGTCTTAAGTTTGGAGGACAAAAATGAAGAAATGAGAAATAAACAGTGATAAAATACATATATATATTTGGAGACAGAGTCTCACTATGTCACCATGTCACCCTTGGTAGAGGGCTGTGGCATTATAGCTCACAGAAACCTCAAACTCTTGGGCTTAAGTGATTCTCTTGCCTCAGCCTCCCAAATAGCTGGGACTACAGGTGCCCACCACACCTGGGTATTTTGTTTTTATTGTTGTTGTAGTTTTCATTGTTGTTTGGCAGGCCTGGGCCGGGTTTGAACATGCCAGTCCCAGGGTACATGGCTGGTGCCCTAGCTGCTGAGCTACAGGCGCCGATAAAATACGTATTAATATCTCATAAAATTATCTCGCCATTGGACTTACCCAACACTCTGCCATGAGTTCTGAGAAATCAAGAGAAGAGTTCTTGAAGTAAGTCGCCAGAAATAAAGCTGGGGAATAAAAACATTTGAATTATAAAATCATGGTATCTTATAAATAGTAGCAGGATTCTATAAAGTAAAGTAGTAGACCTATGTATACATACAAACATAAATGCAGCATATACAGAATGTGCCAAAAAAGTATACAGATTTACACATTTTATGAAGGAAGAAAACTATTATAAAATTGTAATATTCAGCATATACCAGTAACAAAAGATGAACACAAGTCATTATGAGCACCTCTTAGAATTGCAGAAGTCAAATATGACTTGAGCATTACAATTTTAATACAGTTTTCTCCTTTCTTAAAATGTGTATACATTTTTTGGTACATTCTGTGTGTATATAAAATGTCAAGTTTTAATTTTTTTCTCTTGCTAATATAGTTTGGTTTCTTATCTTTTTTTTTCTTTCTTTTAGGCCACTGGTGAAGCAGCCACTGAGCTGCGGGTGCTTTATCAGCCCAACCGCTGTGCCCTTCTTGAGTCAGCACTGGTTCCTGGTCATACAGTAATTTTCAATCATCATGGTGGAATAGCTGATGAATTGTCAGCAGGCTATCCAGATATTCCAAAGGAATTTGTGATCTTTGTCAAGGTAAAATGGGAGTTGATTCCAACCCTCTTGATCACTTTGAGGGGTTCAAGCTTGTCAACTATGTCAACATAATATTAAAATTTATCTTGCTGCAAATATTTACTTTCTTTTGCCCTGTTGAAGATAACTCTCAAATTGAATCATGCTGAAGTAATTAGATCACTTCCCACTAGGTGGCGGTGGTGCCTATTACCATTCTACTTGCCCAGACTTTGAAAGGCAGTAGAGATCACAACGTCAGCAGCAGTGACTACTGTGATGGGATCAGCATCCTGTATTTTAATAGTTGGGGGTTAAAACTATGTATGAAAAGTTAGAGAATCTTACATTTGGGAATCCAACAAATGTGTCTTTAACTTTTCTGACAATTAGTATATTAAATCCTTTCAGTGTTATATCATGTGATCATTTCATAATGCTTATGCTTCTTTGTCGTATGTTTTCGTGAATTTATCTTAAAAATAATGTTATATTAATATAATATAACATTATATTATATTTGTGACATTGTCTATTTTTTTCCAGGCACTCACTGAAAACTCCACCACACACAAGACTGAATGAAATTATGAATTTAAGCAGTCAGTATATCAAAAAATACTGACTGATATTGTTAGCTGTATTTTAAAGGGGAAGAAAAAGATTTTCAGGGAAATTAATGATCTTGACTAGTTCAGCATAGTTAGTAAATAGCAGCTCACGAGTCAAACTATAGTCTATTTGTCTTTAAAGCTTTTTATAAGGCCGTACCCTGAAGACAGCTCAGGCTTGTTTTTAGTCCACCACAGTAAGCAGGTATCTTAATAAAGTTAGTCACGGGAAATTTTTGCTCCCCGTGCGTATACAAGGTGTATTTATTCTATACTGTGGTGTATTAAGTATGAAACAGCCTTGTGTTTAAAAAATGTACATACCTTAATAAAAAGTATTGCTAAAAAACACTAATGATTATATGAGCCTTCAGTAGGATGTACTCTCTTTGCTAGTGGGGGTCTCGGCTCCGTGTTGATGGCTGCAGACTGATCAGGGTGGTGGTTACTGAAGGCTGGGGTGGCTGTGGAAGATTCTTAAAATAAGACAACAGTGAAGTTTTCCCTAGCAGTTAATTTCATGAAATATTTCTCTATACATTGCTATGCTATTTGATAGCATCTAACAGTACAACTTCTTTCAGAACAGGTATCAGTCCTTTATCAACTGAGTTTATACAATATTCTAAATCCCTTTTCTTTTTAACAGTGTTTACAGTATCTTCACCAGGATTAGATTCCACTTCAAGAAACCATTTTTGCTTATCTGTAAAAAGCAACTTTTCATCCCTTAAGGTTTTATCATGAGATGCAGCAATTCAGCCTCATCCTCAGGCTCCACTTATAATTCTAGTTCTTTTGCTATTTCTAGTACATCTGCAGTTACTCCTCCACTGAAGTCTTGAACCCCTCAAAGTGATTCAAGAGGGTTGGAATTAACTTCCAAATTCCTGTTCAGGTGAATATTTTAACCTCCTATGAATCATGAATTTTTTTTTTTTCAGACAAAGTCTCACTATGTCACCTGTGGTAGAAAGCTGTGATATCACAGCTCACAGCAACCTCAAACTCTTGGGCTTAAGTGATTCTCTTGCCTCAGCCTCCCAAGTAGCTGGGACTACAGGTGCCCACCACAACACTTGGCTGTTTTTTTTTTTTAGAGAGACGGTCTTGCTCTAGCTAATGCTGATCTTCAACTCCTGAGCAATCAACCTGCCTTGGCCTTCCAGAGTGCTAGGTGTGAGCCACTATGTCCAGCTCATGAATGTTTTTAATAACTTCTAGAATGGTGAATCTTTTCCAGAAGGTTTTCATTTTATTTTTCTCAGATCCATCAGAGGAATCACTCTCTGTGGCAAATGTCACCTTGTGAAATGTATTTTTTAAATAACAGGATTTGAAGGTTGAAATTACTCCTTGATCCATGGGATGCAGAATAGATATTTATTCGCAGGCAAGAAAACAACATTTATAACTCAGCTGCCAGGGCACCGGCCACATATACTGGGGTTGGAAGGTTTGAACCTGGCCTGAGCCTGCCAAACAACAATGACAACTACAACAAAAAAATAGCTGGGCATTGTGGTGGGTGCCTTTAGTCCCAGCTACTCAGGAGGCTGAGGAAAGAGAATTGCTTAAGCCCGAGAGTCTGTGATGCCACAGCACTCTACCTATGGTGACATAGTGAGACTGTCTCAAAAAAAAAAAAAAAAAAAGAGAAAAAAGAAAATATTAATCTCCATGTGCATCTCCATCAGAGTTCTTGGGCCACTAAGTACATTGTCTATGAGCAGTAATATTTTAAAAGAAATCTTTTTTTTTGGACCAGGAAGTCTCAACAGCAGGCTTAAAATATTTGGTCATCCATGTTATATATAGACGTGCCATCCTTCAGGCTTTGCTGTGCCATTGATAGAGCACAGACAGAGCAGATTTAGTGTAATAATTACAAGCCCTTGGATTGTGTGAATGCGCATTGGCTTCAGCTGAAAATCACCAGCTACATTAGTGCCTCATAAGAGAGTCACCTTGTCCTTTGAAAGCCTTGAAGCCAGGCATTGACTTCTCCTCTCTAGCTGTAAAGGTCCTAGATGGCATCTTTTCCCAATGTAAAGCTGTTTTGTCTGTAGGTAACATATGTTTAGTGTAGCTACCTTCCTCAGTGATCTCAGTAGGGCATCTGGTTACCTGGCTGCAGCTTCTGCAGCCACACGTGCTGCTTCCCTTGCACTTTTATGTTATGAGGTGGCTCCTTTCCTTAAGCCTCATGAACTGGGTGGTGCCTGTGGCTTAGTGGGTAGGGCACAGGCCCCATATACTGAGGGTGGTGGGTTCAAATCCGACCCTGGCCAAACTGCAACAAAAAATAGCCTGGTGTTTTGGTGGGCGCCTGTAGTCCCAGCTAATCGAGAGGCTGAGGCAAGAGAATTGCTTAAGCCCAG